CCAGGGACGTCAGGCCTCGCTTACTGACCATAGTCTAGTCTGGGAAATACGTCCTTAGGTGACGCTGTCATTGTGCAAACATCGTACAGTAAGCCGAGCACACACACACACACACACACACACACACACACACGGTGTGGCCTACCACACAGCACGCAGTAGCGTGTGGATATGGTGCGGCCTATTATTCTCAGCCTGTGAGGAGCGAAACAACACAAGAGCACAACAAGTCGAGAGAAAACGGAGCGAACCAGAGAGGAGGCGGCACCTGGTGTGGGAGGCTGCACGCGCTGAGTTTCATGCCAAACTAAAATAATGGGAACTCTAATATAACAATGAAAAGCACAAGAAGGACGTAAGCCAGCGATGTCGTTGCTTTATCAGCATTCTCGCATGCCGTGCAGCGTCCGTAATTACATGTGCTGCACTGGCGCGTGCCGGCGCAAGGGTTGGCCTAGGCCAGCACCGGCACAAGCATGTCATGTGACCGCTGTGCTCCAGGGTGACCGCTGTGCTCCAGGGTGACCGGGCAATAGGTTTTCAGCTGCATTATAGTCTGACGGGGCCACCAGTCTGTGGCTGGCTGAAATATGGTCTGCAGTGCCTCACTGGCTCTGCAAGCGAGCCGGCAGGGACTTAGGGGGTCCCTCTCCTAACCCTCCTCTCAATGTGCTGTTTAAACTCTTGAATATCAGAAGAGCTCTTTGAGGAAGACAGTAGTGTCATACTCATTTTTTCTTGTAGGGCAGAAATGGTCTTTTTATTTGACGTCTGACATACACATTAATTGTGGCAATATACCATTTTGTCCACTTAAGCCTACAATTCGGGGGCATTCAGCACATCACTCTCCCTAGGCAGGCATCTAGGCCACCCATCTCCAAAGCATCTCGACAGCCTATGCAGAAACTCTGTGCTTGCTAGGCAGAGCCCCATCATCCCTTAGCTCCTCCTGGTAACCCCTGTTGTACTTTCTGTCCCTGTGAATTGCCTATTCTGAGTCACTCCCTTCAGTAGAATTGGGCAACATTGGTTCTTTTGTGTTCGGTTTCTTGCTTCTCAGTCCGTTGTCATCCTCCTATAGATGAGGAAACTGAGGCGGAGAAGCATGCAGGAGGCACGTGGTGAGCCCAGGACATGAAGCCAGGCAGCCTGGCTCCAGAGCCAGAGCACTGGGAGCTTCTGTGGGTCAGTGGGCAGACACGGGGCCACAGGCATGACAGTCAATCTGAATACCAGCCAGCAAGGTCTCAGATTCTACCCCCATCCATATTTCTTTCCTGGTTGCAAAAGGAAGATGTTTTCTGTGTCTTAGGGTGTCTGGTTGATAGGGAAAATTTTCCCTGTTAGCTGCAGGCTCTTGGTTTCTGTGGTCCCTGCCATTTGTCTTTTCTGTGACTACTCCACTCCTGGCCCTGAGACTGGCTTCCTGGCATGCACCCCAGAGCCTCCCAACAATCCCTATTGGGCAAAACTCATCACCCCACTGCTCTGAACTGTACAGTTTGCTCAAATGATCGCTTTAGTGCAGAGCCTGCTGTTGACAGGGGAACTGAAACAATTGCCTTTGGAGCCAAAGGTGTCAGCAGGGCTCCTGTGAGGAGCTGGGGAGCCCCGAGGACAGACACCAGCCTGTCTCATCCAGAGTGAAGCCGGGGCTGACAGAGACAGAGCTACGGCTCCTCCCTGGCTCTGGGCTCTCAGACCACAGAGGTCTGCATGCAGAGAAAGAACTCCCACATGCCTCTGCCGACCCCTGAATCCCAGCGTCTCAGGAAGCCTGGTGCCAAGAAGAGGCTGGTTGGCATTGGTGTCTTGGCTGGCACAACTGCATGGCAACGATGCTGTCCAGCAGGGCTGCTGGCCTCTGAGTACAGGGTGCTGTGCCCCCATGAAGCCAGGAACATAGGTTTTCACTTGGGAATTTGTGATTATAAGGCTTCTTGTGTTCTTGTCACCTCATTTTTTAAAAAGATTAGCAGTAGTGTTGTACTCTTGGATTTTTTCTTTCTGCCATACAGTGAATTACAGTATCTTTTTGGTTGCATTTGTCATCAACGATGGAAAGTTATCTAACACAGCTCCTTGTCCCCTGCTCATTTCTGGGATTTGGAGCTCAGACCTACCTGTGCCCATCTCCTGCCTGACTTTATCTGCTTAGATGTCGCTTGACTCGTCAGATCCCGTAATCCTCTGAAGCAAAAAGTGGGGATTTGTTGTTCACGCAATCACAAGGCTAGCTTCAGTTCAGGGTGGCAGTGCCTTAGGTCTCAGCGCTGCTTCAGAGTATTGCCTCTGTCCCTTTGTTATCTGAGTGTTTTCCCCTCTTGATGTTGATGGCATTTTTATCATTCGATGATGCCAAGGGGTTAATTTAAACAAACAAACAAAAACAGAAACCTGTTAGGTCCAAGTTTGTACCAAAGCAGTGAAGCAGTCTTATCTTTCGCTGCTGCTAACAACCAGGTCATTTGTAATTCTTTGTATCTCAACACCACGCGCCACCTGTTCGCCCCCCGGATTTCACACGGTTGATGCCTCTCGACTGTCCTTTTCTGCTTAGATGTTACATTTTCCACACAGTCCTCATGCTACCCAAGGTGGCTCCTACCCTACTTTATTACCCCTTCTCCCCCCTTTGGTGCACTTATAACATGGAAACTATCTTTTTTTTTTTTCTTTTCTGTTTATGCCTGTCTCCTTCTAGAATCTGAATCCCTGATGGCCTTAGTCACACCCTTTAGAAATGTGGGTGGCATCTAACATACACTTAAGAAATACTTGTTAAATAAGTGAATAATGGATGATTAGAGAAATAAACCATTGCTCAGTCAATCAAGAGGATCCGCTTTTATCAATGGAGCATACGCTTGTCTCTGCCGAGAGCTCCCAAGAGCATACATAGAGTAGTCGTGATCCCAGGAACTCTCGGAAACAAATTCTCTCCCAGATACAGTTCTGATCTCTACAGATGTCAATGAAATTCTATTTTTGCTGTTCTAAGGAGGCTCTTGAGTTGAGGAAATGGGCTGGGCTTGGATTCAGGAGTCCTGTCTTTCCACTCAGGCTCTGTTACTTAGTAGGTTGGTATCTCTGAGGAGGTCATCACTCCTGTGACCCCTGGCTGCTTGTGTGTGATAAGGCAGCAAGAAGCAAGTGGAGAAGTTGGGATCTTTATGTGTTGCTGGTGGGAATACAAAATGGGGGTGGCTACAGTGGAAGATGGCAGTGTCTCAGAATTGCAACAGCATGTCCCAGGAGCTAGCAATTTCACTACCAGATATGTAGGTGCAGGGATTAAGTCCAGGGACTTGAGAATCAGGGCCTGCTTCTGGCTGTTGTGAATAATGACACTATAAACATGGGCATCCA